ATTTCTGTCCAGTTCTTGCAATACTAGTATGAGAAATACCAAGAAAGGTATCTCCAGCCAGTTTTGAGGAATAGATTAAAATGTCATTAACTGACAACCTATATTGAATAAGAGCTCTTTATCTCTTCTTACAAGAGAGATAACATAGTTAGTGATGGTTGGCTTTATCTTTTCTTTAGAGGCCTGTGAGTGCAGGACCACCTTCAAAGACGGTAGACAATTCCTAGTACAAAAGGGCAGAAATGCACAGGTTTGGACTGGAGAACCTTGGAAGGGCAACCTGCTTATTTAGGTTTGATTCTTGATTTTGTCCCAAAGCATAATTCCCTGTAATAATTAATGAAAGAGCCAAGAACCATGAAGTTGAAATTACTGCAATGTAGCACAAAAATGCATCAGGCAGATTTACATATTTTAGGAGTTTGTGACTGGGAGAAGAAAGTAGTTCAATAGATCAAGATAAAGAGGTATATGAATGGGCTTGAGAAAGCTCTGCCTTTAATTTAAACAGTTAGACCTTTAATATAATGGACACATGATAAGTTTATAACATGCTTGGCCACAATAGTATAATTTTTTCTAGCAAAAATAATGCTTGAGCCAAAATAATGGGAATCTGTTCCTCTTACCTGTACAAACTTCTCCAGGGCTTGTCTGTCCAAGCATGTGTAGTTCTGCAGGAAGTTAAGCTTCTCCAGCTGGAACTGGTCCCGAAAGTGGGTCTCTGCCTGCTTCTCAAGCAGCTGGAACACCATAGCACCCAAGAGGAGGTAAAAGAGATACCCCAGTACCAGCAGCGGAGTCCAGCTGATCCGCCAGCTGTGTATGGCGAGGAGAGGCATGCTGCTGCTCTGCTGTTGCCAGTCACTGCTCAGTACTTAACAGGTTACTGTCCCAAGATGTGTGCTACCCAGAACACCCAGAAATCACACACCCATGTTCCCAGCTACTGCCCTGGAGAGTTTTTTAATAGAACATACAGGTATCAGGGCTATACGAAACGAGACTAACAAAGAAATTTTATCCCTCCACATCTGTTCTCTATCCAGATCAAAAGGTGAGCACTTATGGCTTAATAAGAATGTGAATGATAGTGTTTTTCTCCTATTAAAACAACTTTTATCCAAAAATCTTAATCAAATGAATGAAGCCCTCAGAGGATGGTATTGGTTTCCAGGCTGGGAAGCTGAATCAAAACTCTGGTTATATGACTTACCCTGGGTCATATGAATATGGAGTCACGGATAGACTCTTAAAGTCTTGACAAGTAAAGCCTTACACTAAACACTAGACTTCTGTACAAGAAAACTCTATAAACTCTAATTACAGCAGACTCTCCAGAACAAAGAAGACTATGGAGCTGAATAAATGGAAAAGTCAATAGCTGCCGTCTGTACCATACAAACATCGCTGGCACCAGTAAAAGCAGCATGATGGAGCTTATAAACATCCTGAATTCAGCCTGGTCACACAACAGAACCTTTCTTTCTTTTCTAACCCTAATAAAATCAATCTCACTGCCTGGTGTGCTGCTCCTGAACTATTTGTCAGATGACTCCACCCTTTAGTCCATAGAGTTAGAGAATGCACCACTCATGCCTACTGCTTTCTCTCTCCATATTGCCTTTTTAATCTAAGTGCATAAGGGGGAAGGAGGGCTTAAGGTTAATCATTGGCCAAAAAAGCATCAGAGGTTCACTCATGGGAGCCTTAATGATTATTATACACTGGAAATGAGCTGGGCTTGCATATTTTTCTGTAGGAAGAGCTTTATGGCAAGTGTCATCTATGCCACACTGCTTCCAAAAGAAAACACACACATGCACACACACAGAAAGAAGGCCAGGTGGCTAGGGATGGAATTTCATTATTAAACTCCCTTCCTGTTAGAATATTCTGGATACAGATATCCTTTGCTTAGCATTCAGGTTGTTTTCACCTACCTTCGAAAAAGAGTTAGTGCTCACAGAAAAAGACCGAAAAAATTATTTCATTCATATCCTATTTGGGAAAATCCATGTACTTGCCATTTGTACTGTGCTTGTAGCCTAGAGCCAGGCATCATCCAGAAGAGGATGACTGACTGGCAGCAGAAGGCTACTTAGCACTGTGAAAAGTGAAAACTATCGTGGACAACTCCAAGGAGACCATCTTGGACTTTTGTCACCACTCTGTCAGTGTGACTGAGGGACAGAAAGACTTCAGTAGAGAAGTGCAATGTGCAAGGACTCTGAGCCTTGGTGCTCTGGCATTTCTTTTCAGCTGAAAAAGTGAAACATTTGGGAGATAGAAGTTACAGTGGCATTGAAATTACTGAGCATGGCATTAAAATTACTGAGCACTTCAACATTATGAAGCAATCTGATCTGAAGCAACTGAGATGATCAACTGACAGAAGGCCTTCTCTTGGTCTGTGCTAAGGGTGACAATTACTTAGTATCTAACAAGAACATCTCTGTTGTGTCTGATTTCCATAACTAAAAGGTACAGCTTGTTGTTCCATACCTTATGCCACGGTAAGGGTTGACAAGCCTGGGATGTTGCACAACTGCTTGTTATACTCGCAGGGCTGTCTCTGGTGACAGATCCAGGTGTTGGTCATGTTGTTTATAGGACCTATGTCTACCAGGCCAAGAGAATGACAGTCTACTGGTTTTCTGGAATGGGTGCAAACCCATCTGCATAGCTGGGCTGAGACAAATTTTCTCAGCTGAAGTACGTTTCGCAATTAAGGGTATGAAACTAATAAGATATAAATGAAAAAATAGAGCACTGAATCTCTTTTATGTCCCCTTCCATTCTGTTCAGTTCAGTTCAACAAAGCATTCCAGCTGCCAAACTTGGCAGTCTAAATTATGCCTTAAGAAAAAATGTCCACTCAGGCTTACTTTTGGGATCTTAATTTTCTGAGGGTGTTGCGAATTGGGTCACTAAAATTATAAAGGTGTTTTTACTTCTATACTGTAGTTATTCCTACTGGTTTGGTTTTTCCCTCCTTTAGTATAAGGTTGCAATATAGAAATCAAACAAAGCCAGACTGTGTGCAGCAGCCCAGAAGTTATGTCTTGCCACAGGAAAAAAAGAAACTCAAATATATACATTTGGAAGTAAACTGAAGACTTAAGATTTTTGTGTGAGTTTTGAATATGGAAGAGAGAGTTCAGCATGGCTTACCACATCAGAAATTAAATTTGGTTTCGAGGTAAAAAGACATAATACAGAAAGTGCTGAAATAACAATACTAGCAGATCCCTTTTGATGACAGGATGACAAAGCACATTGTCTAATCTAACTTCTCTGTTCGTCTTCTAATACTCTTCTGATTAAAAAATAAATAAAACCTGAGTTCACAAACAGAAATAAAAAGTCCTGAATGCAAGAACTTCTTAAGAGTAGCTGAACTTGGAAGTTGACTGTTCCTCAGAAGTCCTGCTTTTCCTGCCAATGTTGAACATAGGAGTGCATCTGGTCTCAAAGCTCAGGAATGATTTCTCACGACATATATTTTGAACCCAGGGCTGAACACAACCTCCTTGATTATTCCTTCGCTTATCATATTTTTCTTCCTCAATGTGACTGACCCAACAGGATCCAGCTTTTCTCACAAAAAATCTGAGCCATTCTGGAAAGGACATCCTGGTTTACAATCAACATAATAGTAATTTTTTTCATTTATTACTTCCATGTATTACTTGTAATATTTTCATGTATTACTTGGAGCAAATCAAAGGATTCAGGGTTCTCCAATTGCTTCACCTATTGTTGCTACAGTCCCTAACAGACTTAAACATGGATAGATACAAAATAAAGGATGGGCCAAAAATAACTGACATGGTTTGCTCACTTTCTGCACTGGCTTTCAAAAGCCAGAAAAAATACCATTGTGATCAGTAGGAGTATAATTTACATTGACATAAATAAGCTGTTCCTAAAATAAGTAATAAAATGGTTGAAAGGTACCTTGGCTGATCCTGTCATTCACAAATTTCTGATGAAGAATGATTTTTCTGGACTAGTTTTTCTGGTAGAAATGTCTCTGTACCAAACTAGTTGACAAAGTGGATGTTAAGATCCAGGGATCCATTCTTCCACTTGCTATGCATTTCAGCTTGAACAGTTTGTACAAGCAAAGACTTAATTGTTTTTAATTTGCTTTACTCCTTGAATGACTTTTAGACTCTGCACTTCAGAGAAGAATTAAGGAAATTATTTTAGCACCATGTTAGTATAAATAACAGAACCATTGCATTTCTTCAGGCATGACACTGCCATCTGGCAATTTTCTACTTCTGATCTTGTTCTTACTCCAAATTTAAACCAATCATGATTGATGTGATTTATGTTCACATAGGTGAAAACATGAAGCATTTTCAGATAAAAAGTATAAAGAATTCTAAGATTTCAACAGTATTTTTCTCAGACAGATTCCATGGGAAGAAGAAATAATTTCCTTGAATTCTGTTGTCATTGTATTGGAAGTAGATCTTGTTTTGTGTTCTTCATCTATATAAATACATTCACTGTTGGCCCACAACAGTGGGCACTGTTGGCAGCACTGCAGCTGCCCTAAAAAATGAACAGAGAATAATCTTCAATCAGTCTCAGGTGCAGCCCCTGAGATTTCACTCAAGGAAAAGAGAAAGAAATCTTTACTTTTATTGTGGTGGTGTCAAATCAAGGCATGGATAGTAACCACTTAAAAATACCCAGTTTACATTGCTTGTCTTATAGCTGAGATTTCAAACCAAACATTGCAGGAAGTGAAACAGAAAAAAAAATATTAGAAAAAGATCATTTAACATTGACTTAAGCAACAATAAAAATGATTCATCTGAAATAATCTAAAAACAGAAGTTTGAGTGTTGTGGTTATTAAAAATGGACTTTGAAAAGACAAATTCTATATGGAGCTACCAAATATGCTATATGTAACAGGACATTCCCATATGTTCATCTTCTTGGCATTCGTATTCACCACCTGCATATTTGGTAGAGGCAATATTTACAAGATCTTAACATTTTATTATGTTGAAGTGTTCTCAGTTTATACTATTGACATACTATTGACATAAAATACTTGCATCCTGTGATTGATTAAACCAGGTAAGTGTATATTACATTATATGCTTACACTGTTACACAGGTGAACCTCATTATTCCATTTCATAGCCTCTTTCTTAAAAAGTGTAGGAGTGACAGAGGGAGATTGAATTATGCATGTCCATCTTCCAAGCAAGAGAAACTCAACTTAAGGTTATGTAATTTTCTTTTTGAAGCTCTCTGGAAAGCTGCAGTGGCCAGGAAGTGGTAAAGTGCCCAAGCCAAGAGCTTCTTAGCTTAAGGGTTTCCCTAATGCCATTCCAGACTGTGTATAGAGCCCTGGCAGACTCAGCATAAATGAGAACAGAGCCTTTGACCTTTATTGTAAGTCTGGGTCACACCCTGACTCTTCCAGAAGCTACACTGCTGTAGGAGACCAGAGGATGTGTATCTGTTTCTGAAATAAACCATGTAGAAGATTGGAAATATGTTGAAATACAAGATGATCCACAATGTCTGGTATCAATTAATCCCAGAAATATCTATATGATATCTAGTACTCTACAGCTACTTCCTCCAGAAATCTCCACCAAAAAAAAAAAAAAAAAAGATTTATTCCGATTGCAGATAATAAAAAAAATGGTATTTACCATATGAACATCTCCATGCTTAGCAATACTGTTTTACATGTGGCTTAGGGAGGAGTCAATACCAGTATAAATGTGGGCCTCTGTTTCTTCAATGTGGTAAATACTTGGGTTATTTCAAATTAATCTTGCAATTATATGAAGAGAGATTATTAGAACAAGAAACTTTGTTCACTTGTGGCCAATTAAACTTTTTGAAGCAATAAATGCTTTCGTGAAGCCAAGTAGACTTAGGGAAGTGCCCCAATAGCCTTCTCACACCTGTGAGAAAGACATTAAGAAGCTGGAACCAGGCTTTTGACAGTGTGGCTTGTGAGAGGAAGAGAGACAATGGGCAAAAAAGGACATAGGAGAAGGACAAAAGGCATAGGACAAAAGGCTGGACATAAGAGAAAATGTTTTCATGATGAGGACAGTCAAACACTGAAATGGACTGCTTAGAAAGGTTATGCAGTCTCCATCCTTGGAGGTTTTCAAGACCACAGTGAACAAAGCCCTCAGCATCTTGATTTGATCTCATAGCTGATGCTGTTTTGAGGAAGAGGTGAGATTAAAGACCTGCTGAGGTCCTTTCCAACCTGATATTTCCTGTAAACCCAAGAGGCAACTTTTGAAAAGTGGAGGCAATTTCTTTGAAAAGAGAATGCTTTATGTCTGAAGACTGTTGTTTACTGAATGAGCAATCTTTTCTTTCCATATGATATTATGAAATTTTTCAAAGAAGTAAGAAAGCTTTGTATTTGTATATATGGTTTTATATATTTATATGGTTTTCTATTACTGGCTGCACTTTTGTCCAAGTTCTTAAGTGTTTGGTATAGTCTTACTCTGAGACCATTTTGCCAATCAGGGACTACTTTGTTGACAATGATTGAATTTCACACCAAATTTACAACAGTGTAAAAACAGGCTAGAGAATTTTGAAACAGAAGAGCAAGGAATTTTTTCTCTCTGTGGGTGAGATGTGAGGTAAACTGAGAACAGAACACCGAATCATCAAGAAATAGTAGCATCACATAGATACCAGGGTTGCACTGGTATCCTCTTAACCAGTTACTTAAAGCTATTGGAAATGCTTCAATGCCAAAAGGAAGGAGTTTTTGTACCAGTGATTTTCTTTTGGCCATCTTCATATAAATTCACCACAATGGGAATTCTACTGGAAACCAAAAAAGACAGCTGCTTCACCCAGCAACAGTTTGGAACCTCTGGCTCTTCTCCAGGTAGCACGGTCAGTGGCCCTGCTCTCATCAGAAGCTGCATAAACAATAACTCAGTGTGTATTTAATGCAGTGTTTATATATAACAGAGTGAGAAGAAGAAAGACAGATAAAAATTCTGGAAGAGGGACATTTTAATATAATCTCCAACAAAGAAGCCATTTTTCCACCTCTGACCAAATCCTGGAACTCCCTCTTTCCAAAGCAAGAGTAGATCTGACTTTTATCTCACCTTGTACATACTAAATCCTGCATAAAGATTACCAATTTATGTGGTAGCTGTGCTGACTTTTACAGAAAATTAAAAGGCAAAAAAAGGTATAACTTTAATTTTTTTAAATTGATTGCATATTAGTTGTTAAGTAGATAAATGTATATATTCTGTAGGTTTGAACATAGCAATTCACCACGTACCTCTGTATAATTAGGAATTTGACACAGAATTAAGTATCAATAACTTAAAGAAATATACATCCTTAAGAATATGTGACTTCTGTCAATACATTCTTTTATTTTTATATAAACAACCCAAATCCTTCCAAATGCATGACTATAAGATTATCACTAGCATGGAAAATTATATTTTCAGTCTGGTAGTAAGTATGTCTCAGAGAAATAGACTGTATTTTGCATTGCATTTTTTGATTTTGGTCTGATGTGTGAAATAAGTTGTTACATACCTAGATATTATCCAATAAAGTAGTACTGAGCCAATAGTGAACTTACATTTTACATAAGATATAACTGCATTTAAACTTCCACATCTCATTTGTGTTTTAGAAGTGTTTGCTCAGTTCTATTTTAAACCTCTTAAGTGTAATTGTTTCTTCGGAAACCTGCATATTCTAGGAGGGTATATATTTTGCACAACACAATCCATTCAAATAAAAAGAAAACAGTTGCGAAAATTACTTTCTAAAATACATTTTTTTTATATTACAAGGCAATCTCAGTATTCTAATAATCTGATATGAAAACTTCTATTCCTTGGAGGAAAAAAAGCCTCAAATGAAATTCTATAGAATTTTATAACCCGGATAACTACTATTATTGAATAGATATCTCTTAATGGCAAATAGATGTAATTAATAAAGCCTTATGCAAATTGATGCAAACAAAACTATCAGTAGTAATAAGTTTCCCAGATTAAAGATGTAGAATAGCATTAACACATTAGATAATTTTAACATTTAGAAAACATACAATGAATTCTCATAAACAAACATATTTGGCGAACTCCTGATTAGTTGTTTCAGTTTTGCATAATCTTAATGCAAGATGAAGATAGTGAGTGCAAATACTCAAAAATCTATTGCCAGAGAAATGGATTTTGCTGTCAAAGACGAATCATTTATATACCTTTAACAATTAAACCTGTACATCTACAGTACTTACTTGTACCTGTTTCTAAACAGAACAGGAAGGGAAAGAATAAAGGTCTTTCACTTTTTCTAAAAGGAAATGGTGGACTGTGACAAGAATTTCATTTGTTCTCCAAGCCTGAAAGGAGATGAATAATACATTAGACTATATTTCAGGTTGCATTGTCAGTTTTAAAACAAATTTCAGAAACACAAAGGAGAAGAAAGAAGAAAAAAATCTTTTAATTTAAAACTTTAAGACACAAAATCATTAATGTACTCTTCTGTGTTTTCATTTCTCTACCTCAAGACTGAACAAGGCAACAAAAGCATGTTTGAAGAGTAGCCCTTTGTAAAAAGCTTTCCAATGTAGTTATTACAATGCTTTAACAATCCCAGCAAGGCCGTATGAATGTACCTGCTTTAATTCCGCTCTGTTTAGAAAGCAAACGGTAACGACCTACAATCCCTGAGGTAATCTTTACTGAGACCTCTCATTCCCACTCCTGCACTACTGTCACTAAGGATATTGAGCATTCCCATGCTTTCTGTTTATGGAACTTATTTTCCACTCTGTTGGCTTCTGCACACATCTATCCTTCCCTCCCCTCGCCCCCCAGCTAATGTAAAGTAAGGCCCTCAATTTGCTTCTAAAATACTGATATAGAAGTTTGAAAGGGTCAGGATCAATAAAGGAAAGAGCAGTAATGATGTTGACACTTTTTAGGCCTAGCAGTCTTTGGTTTGGCTGGCCCTATGCTTCCTCATGTTGTTTCCTGCAGGGCACTATGTGTGTTAACAGTCATGCAGAGAGTGAATGCATTTGCATGCAAATGCAGAAATGACTATTGAACATCCCAGTTGAAGAGAGTTTGGGAAGGAGGCAACAGAGCACTGGACTGGGACTCAGCACACTTAGTTTCTATGTGAAAGTGTCTGATTCAGCTTAATGGGTTCAGGCAAGTAATTTCTCTTTGGTTTATTTTGTATATGTTTGAAACTTCTCGAGGAAAAGCTATGTGGGAGACTGGTAAAACATAATTTTTTTCCCGCGAAGTTATAAGTGAGAGTATATTCATTCTTCTTCCTTTCTACCTAACTGTACATCTGATAGTTCTGCTCTGCTTTGGATGCAAGTGTTGTTAGAAACTCTATATAGCCATTGATGCACAAACACTACAGCAGTTATTGTGTCTCCTTTTAGTCTAGAAACAAATCAAGTAAGAGGGAAATGATGTGCTCACAGGAAAAGGGAACACATAACGCATAACACTATCACAGATGCATGAATAGTGGTGTTGCTGAGCCCATTTTCTTCTCTGAATTAGAAAGGCTACCACTGCACCTCATAAATGTCCTCAGGTTTCACTGTGGTGCTGAATCACAAAGTACTTCTTTAGCAGTAGTAAACTGTAGATTTTACCCTCCTTCATCTTGCTAAATTAGAATTTACAAAAATTTTTTGCTCAATGGTTCCTGCTATTGGTTCCATCCCTCAAATCTGGAAGGCTTTCCCGTTCCACACAAGCAGTCAAGGAAGAAAAGCATTTTTTTATATACCAGGTTGACTCCAAATCATTCTCAGAACTTGCTGCTGAGCTGTCTCTTTTCTATGACACATCAGGTCCCTACACAATTTCTTATACTGACAAGGCCTCTTTAATTTTTGTTCTGCTGCCTATGCTTAGCAATTGGTTGAATCATCCAGCCCTGCGCTGCCAGGATGATCAAATGCTACTCCATTCCTTTTCATCTACTTAGGGCAGCTCATCTTGTCTAACTGAACTTCAGAACAATTTTTTGTCCTTTGTTCTGAAAGAATACCTTTTATGACTTGGGGTCTAAATAGTTGTCTATGTTGATAATGTCTAGTCCCTTCTGAAACTGATGGATGATGCTAGGTAATAGCCTGTGGCTGAAAACAATCGGGACGGAAAAAGCATTTGAGAGAGACATTTCTGACATGGTATGATTTAGGAGATAATCACAGATGTGCTCTTGTCACAGATTGAGTTAGATTTGGACCTTCTAAAGGCCTGAAATGTTTGTTGTAAGACACTTATCTCTAACCTTCTTCTGGTGAACTGCCTATAAAATCAATTTAATTTCATTTGCAGAAGAAACCTGACAGCAGCTTTTCTAAATAAAGACAAAAGGGATCCCAAAGCCTAAGTGTGTTAAGTGTTTGCTTTGGATGAGTGTAGGGAGACTGTTTTTTCAGCCACTGTATGTTTACCTGACAGTTTTCTGATAAGCAGTGTGATACCAAAGCCCCACTTTGTGACAGTGCTAACACCATCTGCCAGGTGCTGATAGCTTGTTGAATAATGCTGTCATCAGTACTAAAGTGCTGATGGAAAGTTATTGCTTCAGTACCACTACAGCTTTCATCTTCTGTCTAATTGGTTGCTGCCACTAAAAATTATTACTCAGAAAAAAAAAAAGAAAACCACAGGTCATTTTTCTTTATCATGATGAATTACTTTTAGGCTGCCTTGCAGTGCCGCCATTGTTTATTTATTGCTTTCTGCTTCCTGCCAATTTTACTGATCTACACTCTAGAGTGAACTTTATTACATACCTGTGATTGCTCTCAGTACCTGGTTTGATACAGTTTCATTAGACTTTGATATAGTGAAATATCTGTTAAGGAGATACTCTGATGGACACAGTGGGCCAGTCTGCCTCCTGAGGTAGGGTACAGTAAAGTCATTTGAGTAATCTTTATTTGAAGACAGTTGTTGCCACTAAATTTGTATCAGATGAAAAACAGGCCAGATAGTTTAAAGAAAAATTTGGAAGTATTTTAATCACCAAGAAACCTCATTCAAATGCATTTACTTAAGGGTAAAATAATATACTTTGCAGGCTGCACAGCCATGCATGCCCCAGAGAGTTCACTCATGGTGACTGAGTAAAACAGAGAGCATTCACAGTTTTGCACTGCAGCTCTGAGCTACTAAAATAAATACATGTGAAGAACCTCAAGTGTTTAGAATGGCTGAGAACATATTGTAATGTAACTGAAGCCAGAATCAGTTCTCACTTGCATCAGTATAATGTGGACTAAAGCTATTTTGCCTTTAAAATGCTCTACCAGAGATTTTGGTTTGGCTTCCTAATTTTTTGGCAGGATTTACCTTTCCTTTGCAGGATCCTCTGTCTTGCTTTCATGAAAGCTAGGATGTCAGCATCAGCCTGGCTGTCTCCAGTCAGAGGAATAGATGTACTTGAACTTTGTGGGGTCCTGAAATAAGAAGTATATTTGTGGACTCAAGTGAGTAAGGTTAATTTTTCTATCTCCTCTTTTTTCACCATGAAGGACTTTGTTCTTCCATACATTCTTGGAGAAGGCACATTTTAGAGGAGAACTGAGTCACGACTTTTTACTGATCTTACATAGGTTCCTAAGATTAGCCAATATTAGTCAATATTAACCAATTTGTTAAGGTTAGCATGTGGTAAAACTACATGCTTATCAGCTATAAAGCCTCTCACAAAGGGTTAAAAATATTTTACTGCTGAGTCAAAGACTCAGCAAGTGGAAAAGCCTAATGTAGCGAGTTTACGAAGGAAATGATGGATGTGACTATGCTGTGTGCTTTGTTTCAGGCTGCTATAAATTTGAACCGACCAATAGTATTTTTGCCTACTATGAAGGAATTAAATTTTCATCCATACACAGAAGTAAACGATCACATGACATTCATGACATTTCCTGACAGATGCAACTTCTTTCTGCTGCTGAGTCTCCAGTCCCAGCTGAACACTTGTATATATGCACTCAAATCATTGACTCTCCGGTGGTATAAGATGATGTAATACAATTAAGCTGTTCTAATAAGCTAAGAAAGCTAAGAATTTGGGCCTGTGTCTTTAACCTTGGTTGAAGATTAAGCACTAATACAGTGCTTAATTTTCAAACAAATACATTGACAGAAGTACAGTGATAAAAATTTCAAATACAGAAGGACAAGTGGAACTGAAGGGAGAAACCTTTTTTTTGCATATCCTACATTTGTAATTATAGTTATTTCCTCTGTTCCTTACTGACTATTGCAGTAGGAGGAAATTGTGACTGACATAAACAGCAGTCTCATATCCTTATCTTTGTTCAACTAATGAAGTTCTCACTTGCTGAATCAGTGAACCAAAATGGAAAAATAAAGTAGAAATTACCCCCCCTATTTTTATGAAATTTACAAAGTGATTGCAGAACACCAGTAAAGAACTATTCTCTTATTAATTTTAATTTGATTAGCATCAGTATAAAAAGTAAAAAAACCCACAATATATTTGAGAAGGTATCATCTAAACTCCATTTTAGCTTCTCTTTTTCTTCTGCTTTTTCTGAAACCAAATGCAATTTAAAACATTTAAACAGGTTTTGGGGGATGAAATTTTCCAATTTTTTCCTGTTCTGGATTGTTTTGGAAAATGAAAGAAAAAAACCCTTGCGTTTTGTTCTTACTAATGCAGTATGAAAAATAGTAACTTAACTGTATTTTCCTAAGGGCCTTAATACCCAGAACTGTTGAGCACAATAAGAGTATAACTTCAGTAAGTATAGTGACTCAGCACAGTGTTTCAGTGCGAGAAAAGAATATGGAAATGAACACACCTGAAAAAAATAGAGGCTCAAAAAAACAACAGTTTGTTATCCTGCTAAGTTAATTTTCATGAAACAGTACCTCTTTTGAGAAAACATGACATGTAACCTTTTCCAAGCCTGACACACCTGAGCTACTGTTGTCATTTTATTTTAATAGAATAATTTGTAGGAGGACAAAATTTTAAGGACAAAATTACAAGTATGAAAAGAATCTCTGCCTAGTTCCTGCATTCTGCAATTCTGCAATATGTAAATACTCTGATCTCTCTTCTTTTCGAATATTTTATTTACTCTGAAAGAGTCCCTTTTTCTGGGGAGAGATACTCATGAGGATTCATTAGCTTATAGGGAAAAAAGCCTCAGGCCAAACAAGAAACCACATCTTTAATGCTGATAATGCAGCTGATTGGTGTAAAGCTATGTGACAGCCTTGTTGTTGTTTTGGAAGTTGGAGGAAAATCTGCAAGTTCTATTACATTTTTATTTTTCGAGGAGACTATTGTTAAATAGTCTGATGGAGAATTATCTAGGCATTGTACTTAGTACTTTCCTTTTTTGTCTGAATAGCCCAGGTGCACTTCTTACCTTGTTTTTAAAGTCGGATTACTAAAAGTGATGGAATTGTTTTTCCCAGGTGGATCTTCATTAGGGCTGACTCTTGTGATCTCTGAAAAACTGGAATGGGAAATGAAGAAATGAAGGAAAATGAAGGAAATTAAAGAAATGAAAAAAGAATTTAATCCTTGTGTAGCAAATATGAATACATACACTAAGTAACTACAAAGAAGATGTTTTTCAAGATTTTTTTAGATCTATATAAAGCACTTGTTTACCGGAAGAAGATTTTCAGTTTGATCCATATGATGATTAGATCTGTGTAGCTATGTGGCTATGAAAGAATGACAAATAAGCTCATAAAGATTATACTTTTAGTATTTGCCTTCTAAGCTGGGCTTGTACAGCACTTTGATGTATCTGATGTAGAGTTAGGAACGGTATATTTAGTTCCCAAACTGACTATTAGCCAAGTGAGGCCTTAGCTCATTTTCCATTCTTTCTTTAGTCAGGCAAAATTATTACGAAAATCAGTGGGAGACTGGATAAAGACTCAGCGAGGACTTTGGGATGTGACTTGTTGATGATAGCCAAATATATTGCAAACAGCTGCTGTGCATTCCTGCCCCTGCAGATACCATTATCAAGGAAGCTCACTGCTAGGGAGGCAGTTTTCTGCCACTGGATATCTAGGGACTCTCTTCTTTCCCCAGGGGTTGCATATGCTGTCGGATCCAATCCCAATCTTAGAGTGGAAACACTGAATTACCCAGTTTAAGGATTTTTCCAGTAGATGGCAGGATTGGCAAGTTCTTGCTTTTCTAACTCTGCAGTAGTTAGTTCGTTTTTGGCTGATGAATTGATATTTCTGGCAGAGAACTTGAAAAAGGAAAGAAATTTATTACTAAAATTTTACTGTATTACACTGTGCCAGGTTCAGTTTTGCAGAAGATATTGTGCCCAGGAGTATAAGTCATTTTCAGATGAACAGTTTTAGTTTTGCTGTATGTTCCTCTTTAACTCCTCAAGTCCCATGCCATTCACACCTGCCTAATTCAACTGAAGCATTATAGTATTTGAAGTTAATAATTTTCTGTACTTTATTACACCTACATATTACAAGAGCTAGAAAAGATGTGTGATGTTATTACCTACTATGTGGTTTAACAATATCTGGGAACTTCACATCATCATTCTGCCTTATGATTTCCTGAACATTTTTTCCATTGATTTGGCAGTTCTTAAAAAAGAAGTGATTTAGGCTTTTAAATTCAGTTTTCTAAAAGCACTCTGTGTTAGTACCTTGAGATACCTAGGCATCCAAGTCATATAATTGTGGTTTAATAAATCACTATACATCATCTAAACCATAGCAACCATCTACGACTCTATTCTTAGCCTACAACAAATGTAAGGTAATATGACTTAATGTGATTCTTTTTCATTGCTTTCTTTTAATTGGAATAAGCTTATTTGCTTTTTATTTATCATGCATAGAATGTATAATTTTACAAATACTGTGAGTCAGCTGAAGTATTTTATTTTTGAAGTGCAGTAGTTTATAGTTGTAGCTATTTTTTTCCATTGAATTTAAATGAAACTTATTATTCAAAATTGTTAAATCCCCATTTTAAAGGGGATTTAGATTCAGAACAATTAAAAAATCCTAGACACTACAGGTGTGGCAAAGTTTTATCTCTAGGGATCTCACTTTCAAATGGATTCCTGGACCCAGGGACAATATGCCAAAATTTGCCCTAGGGTGCTTTGGGAGAACTGGGTACCCAAGAAAGGTGATATTAAAAAAAAAAATTTACACTGAAAGAGATGATGCCAGAATCAGGGAATTAACATTACTGTGCTTAGAGATGGACCTTAACCTTTTATCCTCTGCCTCTGGGGATGCAAACTCTTAAGAAAATGTATAAGGCATCTTATAACTGTTTTTTAAAATGACTCAAAGTGCTGCTTCCACATGAGGTTAATAATTAGTGTACTAATCTAACAGATGAGTTCCTCAGCTTGGCACAACTCAAATCCATGTTTTATGTATCCCAGAGATTTGTTTAATCCCTAGGTTAGAAGGATGGTCTGTATGGGGATAATTTGCATCCTTCGTACTGAAGCGCTAATGATGGCATTGCAGGATATGTTGAATCATAAGGTGACAAAAGAGTGTAATTTTGCTGTGCAGTGGTTTGTATGCTCAGATGCAACTTGCTCCTAGACTGTTCTTAGATGTCAGGACTCTCCTCCTTCATCTGAGTGTTAGATGCTGTTCCAGTGATGAGAAATTTTCTAGTAGTGCTCGAAATTTATTGGAAAGTCATTATGACAGCATGGGGTGGGGGTAATGATATGACTCTCTGTGTGCTAAGCCTGAAGGACTGGACATCTCAGGATGCTCAACAAAGCCAAACAAAACCATAGCTGACCTGCTTTAGTGTGATGATTGTCTTCAAGCAAGAGGTTGGTCTAGAGATCTCTAGAGGTGCCATTGAACCAAAATTTCTGTAATGTGCAAACAGGCACTCCTGGATCACATTTTGGATTTGGATGGACATACAAGGTATATAAGGCCTGTCTCTTTGTCTGTCTCCTAAGCTCTAACATCATTCAGGTTGTTTTGACAATGCATAATTCCCATTTTCATTCTGAATCTATCTGATTTTTCCTTGAGTTGAATTTAAGAAGTCTCAAAACACTGTTTCCTGACAACTTTAGTAAAATTCCTGCTTTTTTTCTGGAGATTAAAGATAGTCTGTCAGATTTGTTTGTTTTTGTTTCACAAGTTTGTTTTTTTAACCTCATACCTGAAGTTCCACCCAGTGGATAACTTACTTTTTTGGGGGAGAGAGGGGGTATCCTCTATTGAGGGTATATTTCTCAGTCAGGCATGGAGCAGCAGCTAGAGAAATGTACATAGTGTTGCAGCAGTGCTTCCCTTGCTGCAGGAACCCAAGGACCAGAAACAACTGACCCATGGACTGATCAGCTCCATCAAGCACACAGGGTAGAGAAACTGGAGAGATGATACATCTCATAGTATGAATGCTTAATCTGTCAGCTAAAAAATAGTGGAAAATCAGGTAGATTAAAACAGAAAGTGAAAAATTCGAAGGTGTGCAACCTCTGTAATGTTAAAAAACCCACAGTTGCAGTTCTCCGGTCATCTGAGCCTTGGACATGAGGGGAACAGATGTTCTGTGTAAAGACAGGAAAGATTCAAGCTGCTTAAAAGCTGAGTATTTTAGTAGTTGGTTACAAAATCAAATTTGGCCTAGCTTGCAAATTCACAGACACATTGTTCAAGTTGTCACCACAGAATGTGAAAACCTTTGAAATGTCATTAATTGATGATGTTATTCCCAGATTATATTTTATCATCATGTAACATTGAGGAAAATTGGCAGGAATAAAAAATAATTAGACAGAAAATGCTGCAAAACATGTAAACATTGCCCTTGTTTCACACAACATTAATACAGGAAGGAAATTTTGCAATCCAGGACAATAGTTGTTAGAAAATCTGATGCTCAAAGTCATCAGAGAACATGAAGAGTTATCTGAAAAAATCTCCAGGGGAATCTAAAGTGCTAGGAAGATTTTGAAGCAGAAATAGGACAGCCAAGGAGTCTGAGATTTAACATACTTGGGTCTGGCTGGAATAGGACAAATGAGATCCAGTACACCATCACAGGAACTGGTATGTTAAGTTCCTGTGTCAACTGGGGTCAAGGAAATCCTTGGGAAATAAATTTTCTCTATTTTATTCTCTTAAAGCCTGTTAAATTGAAAACTTTTACTCTAAAATGTTATTACATCAGGTAGGGGAAAAAGTAAATTTTCATGCACAGTGGGATGTTAAGCCTCCAGCTCCTGTCTCACAAAAAGCAGAAATAATGTTTCTATTTCCATGTACATCACACTGGAAATGTTTGAACAGCCTAACATAAAATAAGATCAACTTTCTAAAACTGTAGGAAGGAAAGAGTAGTTGACTTCTAAAGATTATTGCAAGAATATTGATAGAGATGGGAAATTAAAACTATATTCATTCTGACTCCATCTACGATTTAAGTTCCAGAAGATGAATATTCTGTGACTGTGATATGTATGCAAGGATCATACAGTCAGTCTCAGCCAACATGCCCATTACTTAGACACAGAGAAACTGTTCACTGTAAAGAACATCTGCTTTTTTTGCAAGAAATTATGTGGGGCAGTAAGCTTGGCAGCTGAAAGCAGCAAGACACCATTCTATTCAAAATGCCAGACAGACTTCGTTGAGACCTCTCCTCCAGTAATAAACATTAACAGTAAAGGCCTTTGATAGAAAAGCTTAAATAAAAATTATACAGAAATCAGTTATAAAATTTTGCTTCTGAGCTAGGGTAGGGGATGGAAGATGCTCCGCTGCTGGAGACCAGTCTCCCATTGCACTGGAAAGTGCCTGGGCATTACCATATGTTCTTTATAATTCTAATCAGACTGCAAAAGCTATCACTGTCCCGAGCAATGCAGCAAGACAGCGACTGAAAATTGTTGTTTCCTAGGTCGGGGGGGCTGAGAGGTTGTGCAAGAGGTGCTTAGTTCAATGCAGTAGAAAGTTAAAGAGAGTGACAGTCATGGATTGCTTGAGCTAATTTCGCTGACTTTCACAGAATCATAGAATCAACCGGGCTGGAAAAGACCTCCAAGATCATCAAGTCCAACCTCTGATCCAACACTGCTGTGGTTACTAGACCATGGCACTAAGTGCCACATCCAGTCTCATCTTAAAAACCTCCAGGGACGGTGAACACGCCACCTCCCTGGGCAGCCCATTCTAACGTCTGATTATTCTATCTGTAAAAAATTTCTTCCTAACATCCAACCTAATCCTTCCCTGGCACAGCTTAAGACCGTGCCCTCTTGTCCTACTGCTGGTTGCCTGGGAGAAGAGACCAATCCCCACGTGGCTACAACCTCCTTTCAGGGAGTTGTAGAGAGTGATGAGGTCTCCCCTGAGCCTCCTCTTCTCCAGGCTGAACAACCCCAGCTCCCTCAGCCTCTCACCATGGGACTTGTGCTAGAGTCCCTTCACCAGCCTCGTTGCTCTTCTCTGGACCTGCTCCAGCACCTCAATATCCTTCCTGAACTGAGGGGCCCAAAACTGGACACAGTACTCAAGGTTTGGCCTCACCAGTGCTGAGTACAGGGGAAGAATCACTTCCCTGGTCCTGCTGGCCACACTGTTCCTGACACTTTGTGCTGACAGACCAAAAATGCTCTCACATTTTGTTCCATCAGCTTTTCTGTGGGACAAATAACCTTCAGCCTAACACCAGAAATGAACAGCTCAAATTAGGCCTAAAACCTGACAGCCATTTGCTGAGTGAATAGTGTTTAAGTCTTGAGAGAACACAGAATAAGAACTGAAGCAAAGTAGAGGAGACTAGAGTTGGTTTTCATCATTTTAAGACATCTGAAATTGTCTTCTTAGACAACTTTAAAGGACTATGTCTATAATTTTCTGTACTGATATCTGTAGCATTTGCTACAGATACAGGGAAGTTTAAAATACAACTTAGAATATATTTTACAGTTTTAAGAAAATTCAGTATTCATTATTTAATGGTACGGAGAATATATTGTGTTTGCTGTAAAAGAGAAAATGTAGGTCGAATCACAGAGTACTCTGGGTTGGAAAGGACCCAGAAGGATCACTGAGTCCAATTCTTAAAGTCAATCATCAGAGAAATGGTAACTGTATAAGGAGAAGCAGGGAGAGAGAAGGAGAAAAAGAGAGCAAGAGAAAGGTGGGGAGGGAGAGAGGAAATTTATTATCCATGAATATGGAAACTGCACAGTCAGGTATGTGGTTTCTTCCACCCTACTTTTCTTGATGGCTATGGAAGATTTATTACTGCAAATTTAAATTAGATGTTTTGAAATCAGAAGTGACTGATGATGAAACTAACAAGATGATTACATTTTTCTATCGTAGAGGATGCACCAGCATTCTATAATATCAAATGTAATATCATTGTGTAATAATATGCTGCATAAACGTAACACCGTGACATTTTTCAACAGCTAATCTATCTAGGCTATATATTAAATAATTTTATAATCATCTTTGATTTGTAGCCCCCTGAATACATTCCAAAGGAGATACAGTCTCCTCATACAGCAGAGTTGATGGATAACAAGCTTGCGTTTCTTATCTGTCATGGGGTCCCTAGTGACAGGTTTCCAGGGTCCCAAGACCAACAAGTCAAAAGAACTGATGTACAGTAAGTTACCTTCAATATGACTGCAAAATGACTGAATGATAAAAATTCATTTTCTACACAGTCATTTCTGTTGTAACTGTAAATACAATGTTTTAGTGTGATATTTGCAAAAGCATTCTGGTGAACTGCACTTCTATAAAAAGGAAGAGAAAAATAACCAATTTACCTGTTAGTTGATAGATGCTGCAAGGATTTGATAAACTGGGGATAAACAGTCACAGTATTTGGTGATGTAACCATCTCTGGCTTTTCCTGCTGGTTTTAGATCAAAAAACAAAATTAGGTAGGAGAGGATTTTTTTAGAGTTCTTGATACTGGCCTATAGGTTTCAGCAATAACAAGGTAGGCAATGACTCATTCAGAAAACACCGAGGTTGAATCATACAGTATTTTCTCCACTTGCACAAACACTTCTGAATAAAGAGAAAAGTATTTAGAATTGGTTCAAGTATTTTTAAGCTCAAGTTACAGTTTTTTAATATGTAACAGCATGTGTTTACTGGTTTCAGTTTCATAGGCAGCTCAGATGTATAGATAGGTCAAGATCCAAGAAATCAATCCCAATTACTTTTTCCAGTTTTCTAGTCTTCTGCTGATGAATCATGAGAGGCTGCATCTTGGAACTCTCTTGTTAAGGGATACCGAAAAATGTGCTCCAGTGGATTCAAGAATATTACTTGCAGTGCTTTGAAAAGCCTAAATATTTAGACAGGAGGGTGACTAAAACATTATCCTCTTTACCACTAGTACGGTTAGGGATTTTAATGTGAAAAGTATTTTGCGATGATAACTTGAAGTTAAGCTAGTTAGGTGGCACTGTATGGATAACTAAGTTTCCGATGTTCAGTTCTGTATTAACTTTAGGCTGTTTTCTTAAAAATACAGTTTAATTTATACTCACAAGAATTAAGCAAAAAATGGGCTAAACATTTCTTTCTTTATAACAACTTTTCCTCAAGGGGTAAATCTCCTTTCCAGGTAATAATAAATGATATGGGATGGACTGTACTCTTTTCATGAGGCTGACGTATGTTTCATGGCAGTCCTTCATTGGGACACGCCATGTCCCTACTTGTAAGTCATTAAAAAAGTGTCAGAAGAGGAGCATAAGAAAGCTGTGTTATTGTTTCAGTTGAGTGTAGTCTTCAGACTGTGTTATGAATTTCTGATACACTGTTTAAAATGACACCTCTTTAGTTCATTTTTACACAAGTCATTGAATTAGAGCACTCTGTTTCTGCTGGGTTCTTAAACACTGGTGGGCCTCAGCTAGAGAGTGAGGGAACACAGTCTGTGCTGAGAGCTGCTAACCCTCTGGAAGCTTAGGGAAGCTGAAAGGTTACTGGAGTCTTTGAAACAAAGGAAAAAAAGCAACTACATTTGCTGGAATAAATCTGATGAAATCACAGTTTTGCTAGCATTAAAAAAGATTATTTTTCCCAGTCTTCTCTATTTGTTTAATGTTCCTTCAGAATTGTTGGCATTTTGGGCCCAATTCTTCCCTATCAATTTTTTTGGGAGGACATAAAACCAGAAAAATAGAGAAGAAAGAAATGATTTTTCTTTATTTGTGTTAGCTTCACATTGTCCAATTTATTACTGGACATTATCTTTGTCCAATTTACATAAGCATAAGCACAGGTGAACCAGACCCTGAATCATACTCCTTCCTATTTAGTCAATTAACTACTTAAAGAAATGATTGAAGATGTTATATTTACATGAAAATGGAAGAAATATAAAGTGATTTCATACCTGTAAATTTTTTGCCTCTTCAGACCACCAGACTTCAAAGTCTTTTTGCATCTTCATCTTTACTTTTTCCATAAGAAGCTGTAGGTGCTCAATCTCTACCTTCAGCCCTTTGAAGCGATTGAACATTGTTTTATAACTAATATGAGAAGAAGAAAGTGTATTACAGATCTTTCAACATATATCTGAAGAAAGGTTTATCCTACCTAGAACAGTTACAGATTTAAACTATAAAATAATAAATAATAATCAGAGATGCAGGGGACACAGAGAGATGGTAGAAGGAAGCATGTCATGTTTTATAAAAGCTTCATGTTTTATTAAAGCTTTTATAAGTGCAAGAAACTTATCCCCAAAACCTTTTATTTCATAAAAAAATTAGTGAAATTCAAATGGGATCAATATTGATTAACAATTAAAATATAGGTTCAATCAACTATGTAAAATATTTCTTTTAAATACTCAGCATGTTACTATTAATAAAGAACCCCACCAGGGCTTGGATTCAGATAGGAGCTGAGATGGATTCCCCTTTCAGATGGAAGCTTCATTAACCAGGCCTCTTGGCTAACATATCCTTGGAGATTTACCAGGAGTATGAAAGAGCCAGAAGTTTCCTCAGAGATTGCGCATAAGACAAATGCTAGTAAAACACTTAGAACTGATATCCTTGCATCTATTTTCTTTTATACTCCTGGCTACAGCAACATTAGAACAAGGACTGGTTAACAAATGTGTATCCTTCATCTTATTTACACTTGGTCAGTCCTGTATAACCTGAAGATTTTCCTTAGGTCAAGAAAGGCAAGACTTTTCTGAATCAACCAAGAAGGTTCATAATACATTTGGATTCAAAGAACAAGTTTTGAACACTAAGCCTCGGGGAGGATATTAAGCTGGTTTTATTTATTTTTAGCTTTTAGCCCAAGCATAAATTTTCCCCAGTCATCTACTGTGGCATCTTACAGACAAACCAACAGCATATACACAAATTTAAAAACTATTAGTGAACCACAAAGCTGACATTTTTTAAATGTCAGAGAAAACCCTGAGGGTAACTGTGTGCGCAGAATTGTAACTGGAATATACTATCAGTATAATTTATCTTCTGAAGGATAGCAGAAGTCTGAGGCAGAAGTAATACCTTTTTTTTTCTTCTTCAATTTGCATTCTAAGTTTCTCTTCTACTGGATCAAACATATTTAACTCTTCAGAAGGACTTGAAACAGCTATAGGAGAAATGTTCAGATGTAAGCAATGACCATATGATGTCCAAAGAAGCAACTTCTAATTAGAATAAAAACTACTTTTTAAGAGGTAGTTAACAAAATGGGGGTCATTAACCATTTCTCTCTTCTGGAAATGCTTCTTCAAATTCCTTATTTAGGCCTTACTTAGTAGACGAGACACTTGACAACTAGGGATTTGAATTAAGTTGCTTTTAATTTTTTTTTCCAGGAGAGATGGGAATACTGATTTTAGACATGAATAAAAGCAAGTTGTCAGTTTAAATGTTCATCTTTGGCATAATACCCTATCAAATGCATTCAACCTGGCAGTTTTGGCTACAAAGAAAAGACCAGAAGTTGTTTCAAAAAGAAGAGACAGCAGTAGCTGTGTTGGTGTTTGGAAATAAAGTAACAGAAGGACAAGTAAAAGACAAATCTTGAAAGAAAAATTAACACTTTGGTAAGCAATAAATTCAGACAATTGGTATAAATAAGGAAAACATCCTGAAACTATGTGAGAAAATTTTCAAGGTAAAGGAGAACTGAGGAAATACCTCGAGTAGCCTAAGTTAATCTAAGAAACCAGTTTAGGATTTTCCTATCCTGTAACAGAGCTAGTGAGCATGCAATACACAATATGCTTATTATGAGAGAGGACAAAACAGTCTTTCCATCATGGTTTATATGTTCATCAGTGAAAGGAAATGTAAAGTTACCTCCTAGTATTACAACAGTTTCTGTTTCTAGGATGAATGAGAATAGTTTTAGGTTCCCAAGAAAACATGTTTAACCTTTTTAACTCAAGAAAAATGAAAGAAACAAAAGATTTGCTGTACAATACATGCAAGTTTCCACCCTGACTATTATTTCTGCCAAGAAAATAAATTCTATGTCAGCCTGTCACAAGGCCTGAGGAATGCACCCTTTCTTTAAGGAGAGGAATTCTGTCTGGAACAAGAGGGCAGTAATGACCCCTCTCTGCCTCTAAGCACATCAAGCTGAAAACATTAATCTTCTGTTGTAGCACCCTATCGCTTAATACAGATTAAGTTGAAAGGCATTTTATTTCATTAGAATACTTAAGTCAAGCATGTTAATACAGACAGTCAAGGTGGACAAAGGCCATGCAGAATTCTCATTTTGTACATTGAAAGGCTTTGCTGCATGTGATTACAAAAGAAGAATAGAGTGAAGACATTTGTGGTGGAGAGGGTACTCTGAAAAGATAAAAATAGAAACTGCTTGGAATGTTAAAGTGAATGCACAAGGTAAAACATCACGGCAGAGGAGATGCTACAACAGTGGCACTGTATAACAAGCTATACCTGAACACAACAGATAATAAGGCGGCCATCATAATCATGTCAGAACCTCTGCGGAAAGCAGTAAACCTTTCCATGATTACAGCATATGAGGATTTTCTGATTTGTCAGATTTCATCCCCAAGAGAAGGCATAATGTGGGAAAGCACAGAGCTACACAGGGAACTTGTGAGGAGACATTCACTGCAGAGCTCCTGAGGCTTCACACTTGTTCTGACCTTCACAAATACACAGAATCCAGGTTTGAGAGAAATATGCTCTTGTGGAACAAACTGAAATGATTTAGGGAGTTACTTCCTCCTAATTGAGCCATGCTCACAGACCATGTGAGAATCCTTAGTATGTTTCCATGAATATTCCAGCCAGACCTAGCGTGACCCAGCTTCAGCAGTGGTTAAAGGGGACTCTTCTGAGAACACTGAAGTGCATTTGTTCTATTTTCACAATTTGTAACAGTGTCTGAGTTCAGGAGGTAGCAGTTCCAGCCCCTTATAAGCAAGGGAAGTAATACAGAGTGGAAGACTGTATCATCTTAAAATGTTAATACTGTTTCTGAAGTGAGGACTTCCCTACATGAAAACATCAACAAATTCTTCTAGTCATTACAGAGTGATGCAAGGCCATAATATAGCTTTCCTTCCTTGATTTATTAGGACATCTAGTACTTGGAAAAATGTTTATACGTTAGCTCTGAAAGGTCAGCAAAACTTAGGCAGAACTTTGCCACTTATACATAAAAACACCATGAAAAATGTTTTTCTTCTGCTGATTACATGCTGTAGAAGGGATTATTTGGTTGCAAGTTACCTTCAGAAATAATAAAGCCTTTTATATGAGATGAGAACCTTTATCATAAACAGGCCCCATCATCTCCACCCCTGAATAAAATTACACCCATTATCTCCAGCTAGTGATGAAAGTCAGAAACACAGCTATGGGCAAGGTGAGCAGCACAGTTTCATGAACAGAAAGAAATGAGTATACTGCAAGCTGATGGGGCCCCAGCAGCAAAACCAGCATTGGATAAATGGCTACAACTTAGACATCCATCACTGTGCTCATGTCACAAAAGCAGAAGAGATCTGATCACAGTATCAGATTAAATCCAGTGGTAAATTAAGTCCAGGACATGCCTACGGGGGCACTCCTTTGTAAGATGTCCAGTGCCTTTTCCCAAGCTGCTACAGTCTCCATTTCAGCTTTTTCTTATGCCTGCTCATTGCAACAATGTGTTTGTTAACTGAATAACTTTCTGCTCTAAAGACTAAACCTTTTTGAATCTACCTACTGTAATATATACAAGCATACACATGGCTCTTTCCTGATGTTCTGAGCAAAAGACATCTAAGGTCTGGTGGACTGTACTTCAACTCTTATGTTTTCTGCTGCTTCTGCCTTCTCCTCTTTCCCTTCTACTTCTTTTCTCCCCTCTCCTCTTTACCTTTCCTGAATCCCTGCAGTGGCCTCTTTCTGCCCCTGGGCTCCTGCTGCTGCCTCACGCCCCTCTCCTCTTACCAGTCCAGGCAATTTCAGCTACAGCTGACGTGAGGAAGGTAAGGCAGAGGTTACTGGCTCATGTCTAATGTTAATGTTCTTCAGTACATAGGCTCAGTTATTTTAAAATAACATAAGAGGGACAACTGAGTGAATAAAAAGCATAATATTTACTCAAAAAATTTAATTCAGATACCTAAGAAGAAATATTTTCTTTTTGCTCCAGGTTTTTATTCCTCTAAAGAGTTTCTTTTTATTGTATATTTCTGCCTTTCCATGCAGGAACAGAAAGCATTTATTAACCACATATATAGGAAGTACATGCAAATTGCTAAACACTGAAAAAATCACATCAACTTTTGCCCTTATAAATTAAAAAATTCTGCAATACATTACAAGACGTAGTAGAGATGCTACTGCCGAAACACTAATTATCAGATATCTTTTCTGCAACTGCACAGAAGAACACAAAGTGGTATCTCCTTGTTCACTCAGGGTTGACTTTTAATTCATTGATTGACGGTTTGTCATATGAAACTTGATTGTACAGTCTCACTCTATGCTTTCAGTGCATCAGCTGAGATGAGCCATTCAATTGATGTGTAACACCACACGCACTTTTAGTGCCCCAGTGACTTCTCCTGGGAATCAAATGGAGTTACTGCAATTTAATCCTGGATAATGCAGATTCAGGTTTCAGGGGTGCAGGGGAGGTATGATGTGCATGTTTAGGAAAACATTGGCTCTGTATATACTAGGGGGGGTTTCTGTTGGCATACCTCCATCCAATTCTATACAACGGAGTTATTTTGTCAGTAGTCAGCAATGTACTGATAAGGAATATTAGTTTCTTTACATTAGCATAACTGCACATACAGCTGAGTGTCAAAAATTATGAATCCTAAATTGTGAAGTCTTTTTAAAGAATACTGAGGTCACAAGATGTAAAGAAGAGACTTTGACAGTGCTATGCTGGGTAATGAAATAGCTAGCAACTTTTATGCTTACTTTTGGGCTAACTGGTTTTGTTTCATCTTCACATACAACCCATTTGGTAAAGTGAGGAACAGGATACAACTGATACCAGCTGCCTGCTTACAGAGGAAGGTGAGCTCTGCATGAGTTGACAGTTCATATCATAAAAGTTTGTGATTTTTGGCTTTTTTTGCATAAAGAATTGCTAAGAGGCATTCTAAGATATAACTATTTTATTCTAATGAAAGGGTCAATTTTGGAGCACAAGAAGTAGTAAATTTTACAGCACATTCCACATCACCAAAACACACAGTACCAGAAAGAAATTACAGCACCTGCTAACTGAATCACTATTGTAAAGCAATATGGAAAGCATGGATGAAAAACACTATTTCTAGCATGAGATACCAAGTGTTATAACCATGGTTTACTGCAAGCTGGCAACAACACGAAATACTCTGGCAGATTCTTGTCTAGAGTCAGAAAATTTTGCAAGAAACTCTCTGTGACCCTGAACTTTATACTCTCTGGGGCACTCGTATATTTCTCGACCTGAGTGTATCCCAGAAGTCAAACTCCTAGGGATTTATTGTCTTGTGCCTCAAATAACATTGTGCCCTGCCCTCCAGCTGTACTTTTGCAGTCAAATATTTTCATTTTTTCACTAGATAGTCTTGTGTTTATCTGCTTAAATTTATAGTCACTTGAAGTAACCAAATTTAGAATTCACTTTAGTATCCCTTAACATATTTACTGCTTTTTTTATCAGCTTTGGAGCTTTTGGCAAACTCGGGCTTTAGCGCTTTCAAACTGGACCATATGCTGTCATTTGGTTTTTTAAAACAGAACTACCCATCCATCGTTAAGGATCAGCTTACAAGTAATTGCCTCCCTTTTCTTTTTTATTCCTCCTCTAGGCCATGTCAGCCTATGTTTGTCACTGGGCACCACGTGTGTACCTTATACAAAATCAAAGATGAGTATGCACATCCAATCCAGGAGGAGAGGAAAATATCCTAGTGCCTGGATGAGTTTGTATTGTGGGTTTTAGAGCAATTTCCCTAACCCTAATATAAAAGATTTTTTAAAGTTTCAGCCAATTTGTCTCGAGAATGCACTGAAAGAAACTGTCCTATTTCCAGCATTATACAAGTTAATGAATGTACAGGGGATTGGGGACATGTATTTTCTAGATTTTGATTTTGATTT